ATCTCTTTATTAACGTTATTATAAATTTTATTATTATTATTATTATTATTATTATTATTATTATAATTATAGAATGAGAGTGGAGACACTATTTGGTTACTAGAAGGCATGTAGGCCCTAATGTCATCATCGATGATAGGAGAATAAAGCTCTGTGAGATGAGAGTCAGGTGCGAATAATAAGGAAGGGGAGAAGGTACGGGAGGAATGGATGGAATTAGAAGTGCGACCCGCAAAGTTTGATGTCTTATCCGCCGACTAGCATTTCAAAGACCGTCAATCAAAGAACCGAAATCAAAAACACGATATCTTGAAGGAGATTTGAGACTGAATTATGAAATAGTTGGGATACTACGCGCGCTATGATTGGTCCGCTACGCGTCGTGGTTTCCTTCGCTCCTCTCGTGTTCTCTCAACATCCCGCGTGTTTTGATCAGAGTATCAAACACGGAAAACTGTTTTTGATCTGTTAGTTAAAAACTTTAATCCTCTAAAATCTTTAATTCAGTCCAAAATCTCCATCATATTAAGGTGTTTTTTGTGTGTTTTTTGATTGACGCTCGTTCGATCATCGATCGTACGAACAACACTATTATTTAGTAGCACCAGTCATTTGTCATCTATATTTTCAATCGATTTCTCTCACTTTTTATTCCATTTGTTTCACTGTTTCTCATTTTATTTCACGTTTCTTTATCCATGCCTTTCCTTTATCTTTCATTTTCATTTCCGTTCCGCATGTATTCCCATTCGATTTCCTCTCCGGGGTGAATATAATTGAATGAATAAATGAGAGAATGAGAGAACTGGCGAGTGCAAAAGTAAAATTAAAATGAATAAAAGTATAAAGAAAAGAAGAAATAAAAACATAAATAGGCGAATGAATGAATATATAGATAAATAAATAAATGATATATGAATGAATGAATGAATGAATATATAAATAAGTAAATAAATGAATAAATAGATAAATAAATAAATGAATAAATAAATGAAGTAATGAAGTGGCTAAATGAAATGAAGTTATTCTATCTCTAGGGAATTTTCATTTATCTCAAGTATTTCACAATTCATGATCGAGCTCGACAGTAGAACAGATGGCATCATATCAGACACCAATACAAGATTTATAATTACAGCTACCATTATTCATTTGTCTTCTATTTGTTCTAAGTTTTTTTACTCAAAAACTTATAATCAGTATAATCAGTTTCTGTTGCCACGCGAGCGCACTTTCAAAAGCGGGTCAGTCAACTTTGTGTTATAGTCCATAAGCTGAATCCTGAAAAGTCCCTAAAAATCAGTTTTCGTAGCACCCCCCTGGAGACATAGTGAAACTGGTATCAAATGAAAGCTTATTATCTATATTTTCATGAATCACTTGTTACTTTTTATGTAACCTGTGCTTAAGTGAGATATACGACCGAATCTGAGGGGGGTGGGG